CCCCCCCCCCCCCCCCCCCCCCCCCCCCCCCCCCCCCCCCCCCCCCCCCCCCCCCCCCCCCCCCCCCCCCCCCCCCCCCCCCCCCCCCCCCCCCCCCCCCCCCCCCCCCCCCCCCCCCCCCCTCCCCCCCCCCCCCCCCCCCCCCCCATTGACGTGTAGTGTGTGTGGTCTTCTGATTGACAGCTGTCAGTGATTAGAGGTGCTATGATTTAGTCCCTATATCTAGGACCTGGAGGGGGCTCACAGCTGTCCTTGACTACGAATTCCCAGGGTGCCAAAGTCTGCCCCTCACCCCAAATTACAGAAACTCTAAAAACAGTGAAGGGGATGAAGGAGTTAAACACAGAGATTAATAATTTACCACTATTGTTTACGATTAGAGGTAAAAAGTTAGAATTACTTTTATCTTTGTAATATTGACTAGAATGTTTTTCTTTTTTGGTACTACAAACCCGAATGAATGCAAAAAGTTCACATACAAATGATTTTAAAAAATCACAGTATTTTTTTTACACAATAGTAATTGATGACTAAAAGCTTCTATTGTAGCTGTCATTCATAAATGAACGCAAAGCTGTCTGATACCTTGTTCATACAGATTACACAGGGAGAACACGGCTCTCTGTGTAATCTGTTTAGATCCCCGATCTTTCCACAAACCCCCTAACAGTAAAGTGAAAACCAAAACTTAAAGGTGGGGAGAATACCGTATATACTCGAGTATAAGCCGAGATTTTCAGACATTTTCGGTTTCAACCTGATAAATTCTTGTGCGGGAGGTGTGTTGTGGTGCCATTCATTTCAATAGCACCCCAAACAGGCCTCCCGCCCACAGAGGGATCGCCTGCACTGGAACGTGCTGTACAACAATGCCGTGCTTTCAGTGCAGTGCGATTGCAAAAAAATTGTGCATGCAGTTTTATTCTGAAGTAAACTTTGTTTCTAACACTCCATGTGTGTATTTTATTTTAAATGAAGGATGGTATCTATTTTTTTTAATTTTTTGTGGGTTTTTTTTTTTTTTTAATTATTATTTATCGAAAAAATAATAGGTCAACTAATCTATTATGGAAAAAAATCATTTGTGTAAAGTTGCCTGGGGCAGTTTTCTGTGTTTTTCATAGAGTTGTTCTTTAATGTCGCACAGCACTAACACCTGCTAGTTTTGGTTTGTGAACTTCTTGGGCACAGCTGTATGAGTCATAAACATTTAAAGCCACATCCTGTAACTTTCAAATTGAATGAGTGTTCAAAAAAACACAAACGGAAGATTGTAGCTTTAAAAAGGTTAGGTCACCTTTTGAGAGGTGAAAAAAAAATAGCCTATGCAGTTGAGAAACTCCAGTAGATAACAATCTTTATTCATAATTAATCTTGATTATATAAACTAGAGACTACATTCCTTTGCCCCTCACAATTGAATTCAATTGGATAAGCCGTAGAAGGCTCCTTAAATACAGATTGCTGTCACCTAGGTGTTAAAATGCCAGTGGTGTGGCTTCCCTTTTTGTTTCTGTGTAGTCAAACCTTGCCCATGTATTAATATAGATAAAAAAAAATAGTGATGGACTTTTCTGACTGTGTGTTGATCAGGCTTTAGCAGACGCTCACAGCAACCATAAAAGAACAGCTGCCGATGGAGAGAGCAGAGAGGAGAATATACTGAAGGAATCTGCTTCCAGGGAAACTACGCTAAACACCAAGATTGATGACCTCCAGAATGAACTGAAGCAGATGAAGTCCTTTCTCGCCAACTCCTCTGCAGAAAATGAGCGCCTCACCCAAGTTATTCAGAACTTGAAGAAGGTAACATAAAATGTAGTGTGACAAAACCCTATTCCTTCAGCAGAAGTTGATAATTAGATTGACTTTTACATAAGGAACATGTTGGGAAAATCTACGGCCAGACGGAGCTTACAGCCAATCGGTTGCAGGCTCCATTTGGGGATTCAGACAGCAGCCGGCGGGCCACTGTTAGAATACAATAGAAGCAGCGGTGGAATTCGTCCATTCATGAAGAAAATATATATATATACACTACACACACACACACATATACACTACACACATATACACTACACACACACACATATACACTACACACACACACTACATTCCCGGAACAGATTCATCCTTACTCTGTATGGTTAAAGTCTATCTCCTGGTAAGGGCTATTACCACCACCCCCTGCAAGGGTTAGCTGCTCATTTTTGTTCAGGGGTATTATGTGAAAAACATTGAATAGATGTGCTTTGTCACTTTTAGAGGTGCTCTAAACTCGCTACGTATTTCGTGATTTTTAAGTCAGTGCTTCAAATGTAGAGTTTAGGGTACCTCTAGGCCAAACGTGTTTTTTGTTATTTTTGTAGGGATGGGAAGTGATAGAATTACTGTCTGTGGCAGTGTTGGGTAGATTCACCCTCTCTTTTTACCGTGGGAAATTCAAAATGCTATGGTTGCCGGATCAGTATCTAAGGGTAAATCTTCCAATGGGGGTAGCTGTTCCAGTGACACCTGTCTGAGGACTTGTTCACACGATGTCCGGATTCTGTCCACAACAGTTAGCTCCTGCACTAAAAGCGCATCACAATGTGTTTTTTTTGGGCTCCAGTTCACACCAGCACAGTGCTTTCCGTTCCGGACAGAAAAAATACTGCATGTCACATTTTTTCAGAAACGCGTACGACTGCGTCAAACGCACCACACTGCAGCTAACGGGAAAACATTTATTCTTGCTCCACTTTTGATGAAGACCGGAAGTGACCTCAGAGCAATAATCTGCATACTGACAGCCCCCCCCCCCCAAAAAAAAACTTTAACGCGGCAAAGCATCAGACGCGTGCTGCACACAGAAAATGGTGTGAACAAGCCCTTAGAGTGGATTTATACTCGCTTCCTGTTGCCTTTCTTGTGGATGAGAGATTAGGGGAAATCTCAACAGGCTCGCTGCCTTACCCTCACCTTCCTGGGTTCTTGTGCTATCCAAAACCACACACAGTTTTTTGTTTTACTGTGTTGCCTTTTGGATTGGGGGGGTGCAGTCATCCGCAGAGGTGCTTTATTTTTCTTTTTTAACTTGCGCAATAAAGTTTTTTTTTTTTGTTTGTTTTTTTTCTAATAGAAGATACAGGCAGACGGTAGATTGTATTAAGACATCTAGGTACATTACCTGGCTACTAAATAGATGAAATTTACATTATGACGATGGTGAGAAGAAAAAATAAACCACATAGTAAAATGAGTGCAGGTAACTTGGCAGCTTTCAATTAAGGCCCCATTCACACTGAGCGACTTGCGATATTGAGCGACTTTTTCCTATTGGGCTTTATGCAATCAGGAGCAAAATCGCTCGAAAAAAGGGTCATGTAGGAGCGACGCGCTACAAGCGATATTGAGCGGCGAGATGTGAACAGCTCCATTGAAATGGATTGGAGAAGCTACATAGAGCGATATCGTGTGGAAATATGAGCGATATCGCTGCACAAATTGCTCGATAAATCGCTCAGTGTGAATGGGGCCTTAAGGATGAACTGTCTGATCCAAGGTAAATAAAGGTGCTTCTAATGTAGTTGAGGTCAGGTGACAATTTCAGGTGACTGTTGTCATGTATGCCCTAAAATGAGAGGTAGATGCCAAGAGAATGCAAAAAGGATAAGTCAGTGAATTGGTCATCTTAAAAATACTTGGTCCTGTGCGGCTCTAGACACTAATAAGGAAAGCTGTCCACCAAACTGTAATGTAAGCTTACATATACAAGAGCCATGCAATGTTGATTCATCGTAGAGTACAATTACTGGCCTGTCTTGTGGAAGGCTACTGGGAAACGGCCAGGGATTTCTCTGGCTGGCACCAAGAATAACAAGCCATTCAAATTCTGCATTCCCACACTGGTGAGGCCTTCATTATCGCACTCTTGCTGCACAATCTCCCTCTTTATATGCCATCATTTTGAGAGAAATGCAGCTACACATTGTCCAGATTAGGACTGCCGACATGTAGGCTTTGTCAGTACAAAGTCAATCAGGGTTGTTCAAATCCAAGCCAAAAAGACGAAGGTATCTATTATTTATAAACTAACCAATATAAATTACAGTAAGAAAACTAGAAACGCTGTTGATTTTCCCCATGCACTATAGCTGTACATAAAACGGGAGACCACCTCCCCCACCCAACCCCCACTCCCCCTGTGCACATTTTGGCTGAAAAAGAAGTACCAGCTGAAATTCACAAAGTACCGTTATATAACCTACATCAAAAGCCATCAATTTTCTAAATGTCTGTTTTGTAGATTGACATTTTTAAAGGTATCTTCCTTGTCATTTTGAAGGCAAGGGTGAAGTTCCTCTTTAATGAATAAGATGAAAATTAGGGAGGCACCGATACCGGGTTTTTTTTTGGTATCGCGTACCGATATTTTGCTTTCGGTACTCACCGATACCGTGTTTCTGCTGGCATGGAGCCAGCTGATAGGCATTCAGGGAGCAAGGACATGCCGCCCGGCAGCCTGATTGCCCGGGAAGCCGGCTCCATATTATTTGGCTGGCTCCATTGT